TTAAGTCAAGATTAGATTGTAAGATTAGGCAAGGTTAGGCTAGTTCTAGTTCAACACAGCATATTGCGAAACTTAAGTGGGAGTGGGCTGGTCACGTTGCACGCAAACAGGGTTCGTGGTGTAAAGCCATAATAGAGTAGGGCGAAAAACGCCAAACGCCCACAAGGAAGTCCCCAGATGCGCTGGTACGATGACATCAAACGAACAGCTGGCACAAAGTGGATTCAAATTGCTCAAGACCGAAAGAGATGGCAGAAACTGAATGAGGCCTACACCCCCGCGATAGAAAAAGGCTAAAGAAGAAGAAAAAGAAGTGGAGGCTAGTTCGACCGGAGTGGTATATCCACGGCCTCACAGAAAACCAGCGGGAAACAACGTTTTTCCACTTCACTCCACCCACAAGCCGACAACTTACGTGTAGCTCCTCTGGTGGTACGGCTGTCTACTGTCCACCATCAAGTGATACAGATGCTCATTTGCTGTCCTATCCTATTAAAAATAATTAAGTAGCTTCACCTTATTCGATTTACCCGAGCGTAAGGCGCGTAGCGTTCCGCGTGCGCCGCATAGACCATTACAGACGGGGCCCTATAGGGCTGATGTTCAGCCGGGGTTGCGGGGTAAGCGCAATGAGGCACCGCGACCTCGGCCCAGAGCAGGAGAAGGAACAGGGGGGTTTTTAGTCAGTAAGAGTCTGATACTCCCACACGCCCGATCCTGGGCGGGAGAAGTCATCTGGTGATTTAACTCTTACAAAACAAGCCTTATTCGATTTATACATTTGCATGAAGAAATTTGGTTTTTATTGGCTAAGCTTGCTTTTATTATTTACTTACTTAACATTTTAGATTTAGTCAAATCACGTAGTTTTTTGGTTATCCCTTAGCAATTCATAGTAAATAGGTCATAGATTCTCAAACAGTCAATTAGTATGCATAATATCGCAACCAAGTAATCACGGCAGTTTGCCTAAAATCCGTAAATACAATACGTTTATGGAAAGGAATAAAATACCTAGAAATAATTTGAGTCTCTTACTGTTGTTCGTCAAGTACAGATCTGTCATAATCAGACTTGAAATTTCTTAGATCCCAGTACCCTTTGTTATTTATTTTATAATCCGACTTCTGTTTCTATATCTTTAATTTCAAAGATAATTATATAAATAGGTATATAATTCATAACTGATATTCAATTCCATGGCTTTCTTAAGTTATATATGATAATTTTTTCTCCTTGTTAATAAAAAAAAACGTTACCCTAGGTTTTTCTCCGGTGTCATGGCTGCGTTTACAAACGGACATATTCACGTACACATCACACCTAGACCCGGAACACCGATTTGTGGATCACACAAAGTGTTGTTCAGTCCGGGAGTCGATCGACGATCGACCCGCGACGTCTTGCCCAGCCACTGCTCCAAGCGTGCAGTCTTTTGTTTTCATCCTGCTTGCTTTGATACTTTTTACTGTTTATGTCTGCTCTCGAGGGCTTTTATCAAGACATCCATACTGAATGACTAACTTTTTATAGTGCGTGGATTGCTGACATTGCTGAAATGTGAAAGAATATTCTTAAACACTCAACAGATTTTGGTCACTTTAAAATTTCATTTCATTTCACCTATATCTGTTTAAGACTTGCATTTTGAAGGCTAGGTTTATTCCAGGCAAATTAATCAATTGTCTCGTCTAATTTACAAAGTATTCTAATCACCTCATTACATCACATCATCAGCCTTTAAGTGCCCACTACTGAGGAGCTGCGAATTGAAAATTAGAACAATTAGAAATTATATGCCCAGGCTTCCTCACGATTCGATCACGACGTATTCAAAGTATTCTAATATGTATTTTTTATTTAACTTTATTGTGTTGAATAAAGTTTGAAAATTGAATAATTATACGATTATTAGGAAAATGGTGTAATACGTCGTATATTGTTCTTTTTTCTCATAAATTTCATAATCAATTTTCTTGAAATTGTGAATCAGGAACTGTACCTATTGTAACAAAAATCACTGTTATTTTATTCGAGGAATGAATACTGTTTGTAATTAAATGACCACATCTACAATACCTCACGCTAACTGACCATTAGTAACCGTTAATTTTATTATGACTAACCACTCAGAATAATTTTTATTGTGAAACTTTGCTTTTAATGTCAACCATGGATTTGTAAGTCAGTCGCATTTACATTCTACATTCAGTCACAAGCTTTTGATTTATATAACAAACTTTATCCACAGGTGTCGGAGAGCTGAGCTTCAACAAGATTAAGCTGGTTCGACCGGAGTGACACCACGGCCTCAGAAAAAACCAGCGAGGTACAACGCTTTCGTAGCGTTTCACCTCGTGAGTGACCATTCACTCCACGATACTTCCCCATATTGCCAATCCTGGAATGCCTAACCCAAAAGCCGATAACTTACGTGTAACTGCCCTGGTGTTACGGGGGTCCACCTGTCCACCATCAAGTGAAACAGATGCTTATTTGCTGTCCTATCCTATAAATAAAAAAAATATTATTAAAAAAACAAAATACCCGACTGCACACTAAAAAAAGAGTAAAACAAGCCCCACAATACAAATTTACTGAATATAATTTATAAATGTTGATGGAAAGCATCGCAGGCGGGGACCAACAGAGGCTTATTTATAGTCATTTCTGTTGTGCACCATTTAGCAGAATTTTCGTTGGTGGCGGTCAAGGTGGTCCCCGCCTGCGATGCTTTCCATCAACATTTATAAATTATATTCAGTAAATTTGTATTGTGGGGCTTGTTTTACTCTTTTTTTAGTGTGCAGTCGGGTATTTTGTTTTTTTAATAATAATTTTTTTATTTATAACTTTTTAGCTGTTTTTATTTAACGAAAATGTTGTAGATGTAGAAGACTATGTATATGTAAGTACCATTTTAAATTATTTCGACGACATTTGGCTTTAGATTACATCTAATGATACCGCATACATATTTTTTTAAAGGGAAATTTAGAAAAAATATTATTATGTCTTTATCCCGTGGGACTTTTAGGATAAAATGTATCCTATGACACTCCCGTAATCAAGACAAATCTAACGATACCTCATACATCAAAATCCATCAAGCCGTTTAGGCTACAGGAGGTCACAAAGGAAAAGACATACATACATACTTACATACACTCGAAAAACATTACCCTCCTTCTTTGGCAGTCGGGTAAAAATAATGAAGTAGCTTCACCTTATTCGATTTACCCGAGTGTAAGGCGCGTAGCGTTCCGCGCGCACCTCAAAGAGCCAATAGACCACAACAGACGGGGCCCCATAGGGCTGGTGTTCAGCCGGGGTTGCGGTGTAAGCGCAATGAGGCACCGCGACCTCGGCCCAGAGTAGGAGAAGGAACAGGGGGGGTTTTTAGTCAGTAAGAGTCTGATACTCCCTCCCGCCCGATCCTGGGCGGGAGAAGTCATCTGATGATTTAACTCTTATAAAAAAAACCTTATTCGATTTACACATTTGCATGAAGAAAGCAAGCTTATCCAATGAAAACCAAAATTTTCATTGGCTAAGCTTGCTTTTATTATTTACTTACTTAACATTTTAGATTTAGTCAAATCACGTAGTTTTTTGGTTATCCCTTAGCAATTCATAGTAAATAGGTCATAGATTCTCAAACAGTCAATTAGTATGCATAATATCGCAACCAAGTAATCACGGCAGTTTGCCTAAAATCCGTAAATACAATACGTTTATGGAAAGGAATAAAATACCTAGAAATAATTTGAGTCTCTTACTGTTGTTCGTCAAGTACAGATCTGTCATAATCAGACTTGAAATTTCTTAGATCCCAGTACCCTTTGTTATTTATTTTATAATCCGACTTCTGTTTCTATATCTTTAATTTCAAAGATAATTATATAAATAGGTATATAATTCATAACTGATATTCAATTCCATGGCTTTCTTAAGTTATATATGATAATTTTTTCTCCTTGTTAATAAAAAAAAACGTTACCCTAGGTTTTTCTCCGGTGTCATGGCTGCGTTTACAAACGGACATATTCACGTACACATCACACCTAGACCCGGAACACCGATTTGTGGATCACACAAAGTGTTGTTCAGTCCGGGAGTCGATCGACGATCGACCCGCGACGTCTTGCCCAGCCACTGCTCCAAGCGTGCAGTCTTTTGTTTTCATCCTGCTTGCTTTGATACTTTTTACTGTTTATGTCTGCTCTCGAGGGCTTTTATCAAGACATCCATACTGAATGACTAACTTTTTATAGTGCGTGGATTGCTGACATTGCTGAAATGTAAAAGAATATTCTTAAACACTCAACAGATTTTGGTCACTTTAAAATTTCATTTCATTTCACCTATATCTGTTTAAGACTTGCATTTTGAAGGCTAGGTTTATTCCAGGCAAATTAATCAATTGTCTCGTCTAATTTAAACAAGACTATCATTTTCTTCACTTCACTGATTTCTCAACTTGAATGGTTTACAACAATAAAAAAACACTTGGAAATTAATAGAAATAATCGGTTTAATATGACAATAATGGTGCGAACAATGAACACGTAGGTTTTACCTTAATATAACTTTGGTACACGTTTTGGTGACTAAGCAGTTAGGTACATTACATTAGTTCGAGAAGAGCAGATCAGCATACATAAAAAACTATTACATAGACTTAAACCTAAATTTATTTATAAAAAAACTATTCGACAATTTATTATATAAATTCGTTACTATTCATAAACAACACAATTGTCCACAGAGAAATTTTCATAATTATAAATCCAACTATTCACAAAATTATACAATTATTTATTTACATTTTAAATTTAATTATATAATATATATCATTGGACCCTAAGTAAATCTACAATATTACATTTTAAAATTATTACAATTAAAGACGAATTTTTATAAAAAATATTTACAGATTAATAATTTGATATAGTTTTTGCGTCGCGGCTCATATGACGCAAAAACTGATATTCAAATTTTTTTATTAACCTACTACATTATATGTTCTTATGACTAGAACTGGCTTACATTATTTACAGAACTAATAAAGTGACTATATTTAAGGATCATAATTACAATGCGCTAATACACTAATTGCTACCAATATTTATGAATTAGACTATCGAAGTTATAGAGAGCGATGGTACCTGGAACAAAAAAATACATTTATTACAAAAAATACGATTACGTATTGTATGGTGGTTATACAAAACTAAAAACATAATACGTATTAAGTATATATTTAAACATTTTTGAATAAAAATTCTAAATGTTTTTTAATAAAAAACTACAAAAAATCTATTGAGAATTTTCCGCTCCAAAAAAGCTGGTTTTCGTTTGATTTAATCTGCAGAATTAATAACTGAGCGTCGAAATAAAAAACTTTGTCCGAATTTTGTCACATCTGAAATCCGTAACATTTTTTTTCAACAGTACAGTTTACCGACGTACTAAATGCGGTGATATGATAATAAATGGTTGTAGTTTTCAATAAAAAGTGTTGTTTTTTTAACATAGTTATGTTTGTTTATTTATTTTTAAACAATAACCTATCTAAAAGCGGTTTTATTTTTAGACACTCTTTTACTAGTAATCAGTTTTTCTTTTTATATATTTATTTATAGTTTTTATGCCCGTATTATGCTATATTTATTTGAATACCAGTTCATATGACCGAACTTAACTTATATTTTCTAACCTTTTTCCCTGGACTACCATGAATGTTTCAACACTGAATATCGTCAAATTAGTTATCGTCCAGTCTTTCTTGGGTTTTAGCGTCACAAACAAACTGAAATTCATTTTTATGTATAAAAAGAAGATTTCAATTTTAACATTTAGTTGCTAAAAAGTCTTTTACGACGCCATTTTGTTAGCAACTAAAGTGGTTTTAGATAAATTTAATGCTGAATTTAGAAATGTATGTGATTAATGTAAGACCATTTTCAGTTCAACCAGCAAGAAAGATAAACTCCACGCTTGATCATTCAAAACAGACGCCTTTGTGAAGCCTTCACTCCGTAAAGTTAAATTTTCAAGAAAAATTTATTCTTGTAAAACTACAAGAATAAATGTTACTTTATATACTTATCTATTTAACTTTTAAATATTTTTAGAGTGTTTCTGCATTAAAAATTTCATTGTTTACCTTCCAACTTTCTGAGAATAAGAATAAGACAGGTATTTCGTAAACGTCTAAATATAAACAATTAAAATAATTAAAGTATGCAATCTGGTCATACATATGACTGTCTCGCGACATGTTTGCCATTAATCATGGTCGTGCAAACATGCTGGAAAAAATTACATTAATTTTCACTTTGGGTATTATATTATATTATTTAAAATCAGTTAAATAAATATGTTAAGTCATTTACATATCCAATTGTTATACCTATTCAATATTTTTCTAGCCCAATATTACTAATTAGGAATAATAAAAATATACATTGGAGATTTAAATAAAATTAAATTTAAAATTTAAAATAACCCCCGACTTTATAAAAACCATATGTAATCCATAAAGCGACATTTGGTAGAGGCAGCCATCTTGGATTTAAAATTTTTCATACCTAATAGTATTTCACTAGTCAAGCCCTTTCATTTGATACCCATATTGATCAAGATGTAATAAAAAAATGTAAAGCACCATTTTGTAGAAGCAGCCATCTTGCATTTTAAATTTGTCATATCTTATAGTATTCTACTAGCCAAGCCCTTTCATTTGATACCCATATTGATGGAGTTTAAAAAAAATATCTAATCTGTCATTTTGTGGCGGCGGCCATCTTGGAACAATTTTCATCAAACTTACGTAAAAACACTCTCGACATTTTCTACTGCCAAACAAAAAAAACTAAATCAAAATCGGTCCATCCGTTCGGCGGCTAGAGTGGTACAGACAGACAGACACACACACACACACACACACACACACACACACACACACACAGAGACACGTCAAACTTATAACACCCCGTCGTTTTTGCGTCGGGGGTTAAAAAGCAATGCAACATGAGCCGTTTAAAAAATCTGCAATAATTATATCCTTTTTGCCAACGTCTTTATGGCTTAGATAATGTAGGTACTTGTTTTTCTGATAACAAGTAAATATAGAAAAGATTTTATCAACAAAATCACAGGAGTTTCTTATCCAGAATTGCTTTCGCAATACATTCTTTGTACAAAGAATTCTTGTACAAAATTTAATATCTTTAAACTCAACGAAGAAGGTAATGTATGTGTCAGTGAAGGAACGAAATTTAGCTAAGACGTTATTTAGAAGTTTAGTTTCGAAAGTAGGTTAACTTGTGTAGTTAAAATATACTTTGTATTTCGTGGCACATTATGTGTTTCTAGCTTATACGAGTTTTCTTTTTATATGTATGAGTCTGAAAACTAAATAAGCCTGAGCCATTTAATGGTTTCCCTTCGCAACTGTTTTAGGGAGGCAATCAATTGAATAAGTAATAGTTTAAGTAGCCATAAAAGGCCTGTGAGCATGGCGGTAAGTATATTTTTTCTATTGTCAAAAAGGAAACTGAATTGATATTATCCAAACTAATATTATAAATGCGAAAGTAACTCTGTCTGTCTGTCGGTCTGTCTTTTCTTTACGCCTAAACTACTAAACCTATTTGTGTGAAATTTGGCACAGACATAGTTTGGAACTCTAGGAAAGACAGAGGATTTAAACCAAAAATCTGAAAAAAGTCACCATTCCTCGCGAAAAAGGTCGCGGGCGAAACAAATATAAATTAGAAAAAGTAGGCACGCGTTATATTGTCAAAGGAAAAAGAAGCCTACATCTTTCTTCAGAGTCCTAATTCTCTCCAAGCTTAAAAATCATACCAAACAACTAGGCTAAAAACAAACTTATTTTTTTACAAAAATAAGCTACACGCCTTTTCGACGCCCAAGTTATTACCAATTATAGGTATTTCTTACTTATAATTGGTGGTGTCGTATTACTAAAAAAACAACATAGTCTATATTTTTCCGAGTAGGTATACAAGGTATACAAGGAGCCTAAAATTGGATATAAGATGTATTAATAGACTCGCCCACTACATAAGAGTCAAAATAATACTAGCAAGAAGTTATTTAGCAGCCAAAATAGTATTGGAGGAATATCTTATTACTGTTATACTTTGATAAGTCATTTTTGAGGAATCAATTAAATACTATTTCGACATTCGACAAAACGACTGTATGCTCGTTTTACCACCTTAATGTAAGTTCTCGATAAACTTTTGTGGTAGATAAAAAGTTACGTTCTGAATTCAAGTTTATCTGGTAGGAGCAAAGAAGCTCGCTGGCGGTCAGAGCCAGACCCGAGCCAGACGGCTCGTAGCGTTTCGCGCGCGCCTCAAAGAGCAAATAAACCGTAATAGACGGAGGCCTACAGGGCCGATGTTCAGGAAAAAAAGGGTGCAACTTATAATAGTAATAAATTGAGTGCTTTTATAAGAGTTATAATAGAACTATTTATTTAAATAGTTTCTGTAACGACTGACATCAGCATCTATAACTCAAGAACTGAAATTTAAACCTGCATACTCTATATTTTTTAAGAAAAGGGGTTTGTAAATTTAATAAAAGTGGTCAGATAAGAAAAAGAGATGATAGGTATCATGTGATAAGGGGTCAGGAAATTTTGAGCAAAATGGTGACCAGGTGGTACCTCCAAAAGTCAATAGGAAGAAGGGCACAACGCTTAAAAGATTGGACGATGACATCAGGCAAATCGCAAAAGTTACATCGCACAGGGAGCAAGAACGAAATGAATGAAAAACAGATCAGCAGAAACTTGTCAATAGATATTCTATAGATCCTAGACATGTAAACAAAGATCCTTATCCAAACTAATATTATGAATGCGAAAGTAACTGTCAGTCTGTCTTTTCTTCAAGCTTAAACTAATGAACCTTTTTCTGTGAAATTTGGTACAGACATAGTTTGGAACTCGAGACATACGATAGTTTTTATACCAAAAATTTGCAGGAAGTCACTATTCCACGCGAACGGGGTCACGGGCAAAAGCTAGTTGAGAATATTTTTTATTTTAATTAATCGAATTTTTTTGTCAAATTTATTAATTTTTCATTGTGAAAACAACGCTGTCATAAATATTGTTACTCTATTTTTGTGTAAAATAATAATCTCTTCATATTTCATCGTCACTTTTCAGGGAAATCAGTAAGATCTGAGTATCAAATCATAATCCGTCTTTGTCAGCAAAATATTATATTACGAAGAATACTATAAATAGAGTGAAATTTTCATCTTAACGCGCCAGTGATCGAGTGGCTTCGGTTTATCCTGGCATGGAGTCTGAATCAATGTCTCGCCTTCGTAAACAAGAAGCCAAATTAAACATCTAACTATTCACCAAACTAATTTGTTTCTTTGTGGCCTGTTTTATAAATTGTCTGAATAGCCGTTATACCAAATTTTGAATATAGAACATACTTTTTATAAACTATGTTCAAAATAAGTTTTTCTGAATGTGATGAAATAGAAACTTGTTTTGTTGTACAATTCGAGTGAAATACTAAAAAGAAATAAAATTATATTTTTTATTCTTGATAAAATATACATGTTACTCGTTAAATTAAAATGTTGCGAAAACCGTTACGTTGGCGTCTAATTTATAAATATTTATCAAGCTAAATTCCCAGACGAAAATATTTTACGCTTGTTGTTGTTACAATTTATTGAATCTAAATATTTCGGTGCATCTGCATAGAATTTATTGATCTTTTAACATTATGTAACAAAAACATGAACATAATTATGTACTATCGAAACTGTGGAAAAATATACACGAATGTAACAACACTCTACTGCAACGTATTTTTTTATGCAAAAAAAGGTAATAGGCATGACTTTAATAACGCAAAGATGAATAATCGCCTCTCGATAAAAATCCACGTTGACGTCGACAAGTCTATGAAAGCCGTGTTTCGACACGAATGGTGATACAACCACAGCGTTGTGTTTCGCCGTGTGAATGAGTTACCGGAGGCCCAACCCTTCCCCTCCCCCAATCCCTAAATCTACAAATCCCTAATCCCCAAAAGGTCGGTAACGCACTCGTAACTCTTCTTCGGTACGGTCATATTACACAAAAAAGTGTTCTTTATGT